ACTGAATGCTTGTCAAACAGTTAATTAAATCAAATGGACACACTCGGAGCGAGTTTTGGAACACGAAAAAAATATTATGCTTATTAAGACTAAATAATTTCTAACTTTCTCCCATATTATACGTTTATATTTTAATGTAGGATGATTAATTACTGAAGAATATATAAATTCTGATCAAACTTCACTACTGAATGCTTGACAAACAATATTCAAATCAAAACTTCAATAGTGAACGCGCTTAGGGCGAGTTTTGGTACATGGTGTAAAATATTATGCATATTAAGAGTAAATAATTGCTCACCTATTATAAGCTTATGTTGTGATATAATATGATTTATTACTGAAGAATATTTTAACTCCGATCAAACTAAAGTAATAAATGCTTGACAAACAACTATTTAAATCAATAGATCAACAGTGAACGCGCTCGGAGCGAATTTTGGAACACTTCCCAAAATATTTACAGAAGCAGCAAATGCAACTCTGGGATGTAGCTGAATATCAAATAATTAGGCAAATTTGTGCGCGCATAGTGTTTTTTCCGGAAAATTTTCGTAGTTTTCGTAAAATATTGAGTTTTGTGAAATAATATATATGTAAATCTTGCATTAGCGAAATACTGACTTTCTTTTTAAATAAGATTTAAACATTTTGTATTTGCAATACACGTGAGTCGTGTGCTAGCAGAGGTTTTACAAATATCGGCCTCGTGGAGATTTGGAAGTTTCTGGCCAAACAACAAACAACAAACAAGTAAGTACAATATGTAAATTTATTATTGCGTTCACTTTTTTAATTATTGTGTATTTACATACATATGTACGTATTTGTAGAAAAAATGCCGAAAAGATGTGTATGCAGATGTGCAGAAGTAAGCTCCCTCTACAAGTTTCCTTTGGCCTCGGATGTATCAAGGTATGATGTTTATTTAATTTTATTTGTTTATTAAAATTAGTTAAACTGAATGCTGGATAAGCGATAGCCATCGTCTGGATTTAGTTTTTGTACTTTGAAGAGATATAGGGTACTCTCGCATTTACTTGTACATTTGTTATGTTAAAATCCAGCCAGACGGACTAGTCTTGCAGTTTTATCGCTTATCCAGTTAATAAAGTTTGACCATAATTTAATTGTAGTGTGTATATGGTATAGCAAATCTGCTATAATGTAGCACACATTGCGTTTCAATGTTTTTTTATTTGTGAAAATTTTAATCATCGGCAGGCTTATTGACCAAGAATGATACGGGAAGTAAATTATCGAAAATTTTCACATCACGAAACCGGTGGACTTATATTTAATTAATAATTTTAACATCGCGCCTTTATTGTATTTTTAATAGCTTTAACCTTTTAATAAGATAGCTAAGATGGTACGTGCTGTTAATTCCTCTTTGTATCTAATTAATTTTAATTAGTATGCGTGGAGTTAAATTTAGTGTAAAAGCAGCAAAATATATTATTATGTACTTCGGTTTTCAGCTGCTTACT